AATTTCTTGAAGAGAAGAGCTTATGGAGTTAAAAAAAATATTAGATGCTCTTTTTTGTCTAGAATTGTATTTTACTAGATGGGTTAAGAAAGTTTATTTATGTAGAACTTTATTGTTTTTTAAATAAATGAAAGGAAAAATCTAATATTCTTACAAATTAATCACTGCAAGTATAACATTTCAAATCTGCATTAAGTCGAGAGAAGAAATAATATCAATTTATTTAAATTTTTTTAATATACTAATATTAGTTATTAAAACTACTTAAAATTTAAGTAGACACATCTCTTTTACTTCATACCCATTAATATTAGTAATTTTAAGGATATCAAAATTTACAAACTTAAAAAATATTAAAAATAACACTAACCTTGCCATTCCTATTTTCTAACCCAAATTAGCAAAATCCTCTCACCTCTCCATCCTCCTATGCTCTCTTGTTCCTACCCAAACTATTGATATACTTTCAGGTGCTTCGACCATGACAATTAGAGGAAGTTACAATCATAAATAGCTAAAGAAAACATTAATGGGACCAACAATATGTGTATAATTAGTGAAGCTAACAATTGTATTTACTTCCAACACCCTTGCAATATTTAGTTTATATAAATTCCATAAATTTGGCTTTTATAAGATTTATTAGATCCAAAATCTGAGCCAAAATGGAGGAGAAATAAGATTCAAGACATTGTAGGATTTAAATTAGCCATCATTGTTGTTTGGCAGCATTTAGGTTAAATCATGATCAAATTATCTTACCAAATAGCCCCTTAGTTACAACCATGATATCAAATTAACCCAACTAACTATAACAAGTTCTTGGTTTACAATAAATGCAAGAAAATCTTACATATGCAAAAAAAAAAAAAAAAAAAAAAAAACAAAAAATTAGCTAATAAAATTTGAACTTATTAAAGATCTATGCATATTAGTCCCAAATTTTATTTAGGAGTTGAATTAAGTCCCTTAAAGGCAATTTGAGAACACTTTTTATTTTTATTTTTTATGATCTTATTTAAATTGAAATATATTTGATTGAGATAGTTTTAAAAACACTCTAAACAACTTTTACGCATTTTGAGTATTTTCAGAAATAAATTAATCTGTAATTAAGAAGAAAAATAAAAACATATAAAATTGTACTGAACGAACAAAAAATGAAAACAAAAGAGATGTCCGACCCTAAATTATTCAAATTTATACAAACTTGATCCTACTGGTAAATATTAGTGAAGAGAAGCTTACCATAAGAGTTTTTTTTTCCTTTTTAATGGTTATATATATATATATATATATACCGTGACAACATTATTGATGTGTCATTAGTAGGTTTTTAACATGACACATGAATTTCAATGCATTTTGAGTAATAAGTATTTCATATTCAAATTCAAGATCATCAGGGCACTCATTTTAATAAGTTTATGGTCAAACTGAGTATTTCAACAAGACGAATCAAATGAAAAAAAAAAAATGATTCAATTAGAGCAAATCTGCCTAGATGAAACACTTGAAGTATAGTCAAAGACTTAGGTGCATCAGTTGAAAGGTCAAACGATCTCAAAAGTTAGCATGCTTATAATCAGATTGAGTGTCTTGATGAAAGATATCCAGGGAGCACAAGATCATTCAATTATGAGGTCGTTAATGCAATTAAATGTTAAAAATTGACTTAGGATTAAGAGAATTAATGTAGATCGTGTGATGGAGTGTTTTGATATTTTAGTTAATTTTACTAAAATGACTTTCTAAAAACTATAAATAAGCTCACGTTCTTTACTTACAGAGCGGGGAGAACGATGAATGAGCTGACAATTAAAATATTACTCTTGAAGAGAAGTGCAAGTGAGTAATCATTACTCGTTGTCGACAACCATTAATAATTGTTGTAGCCAACTACAATTGTTGTAGCCTAACCATAGCTTTTCCAACTAACCATGACTTTTGTAGTGACCAACCACAGCTTCTATAACTAACTACAACTATTATAATCCCCAATTATGACTTTTGTAGTTAACTACTGTTATTACAGCCCCCAACCGCAATTCGTGAAGCCCAATTATGAATATTGCAGCAAAAAATATTAGTATAAATTTTTGTTTGTCTGTAATTTCATCTTCCTTAATTTATGAGTAGTGGACATATGTATTTTCAATTTCCCACTGAAATATTTAGACTAGAACAAGCCTTGTAATTTTTTTTTTCTTTCCAAATTATTTTTGTATAAAAACTTTTGTCATCTCTTACATCTTTTGTGCGTGTGATGAAAAATAGAATTGAGAATTTCTACTATATAATAATAATCATTAAAATTTTGTCACTAACCAAAGAGCTAAAGTTCATCAAGAAGATTACTTGCTAAGACAAAAGAATAAAAATAAAATAAATAAATGAAATAAATATGAAACCAATGTTTCATAATGCTGAGGAAAGGCTACATGATATATAAGCACAGAGATTTTTTCATTTAAAAATAACTAAAAATAAAATATAACTAAAATCAAATATAAGTTAGATTTTTTTTTTCATTCAAAATATATTTGAATTTTAATACCTACAATTTAAAATTTTATTCATGAGATTGGCAAGTGAGTTTCCATTTGTAAGGGATATGTAAGATTATGTAATTAGATATGAGAATAAGGAAAAGAATTAGTTTTCATGTTCATATTATCTCAAAAGCCAAGGACTAATGTCATATGAGCATTGAAAATTAAAAATATATATATATTTGAATACCTAATGAGAAACCCTAATAATAGGCTTTAGAGATTCACTAAAGGATCGACAAAAAATCCATATCTTCAATTTTTAGAAGGACCAGTGAGTATTATTGCAGTAAAGATAAGAAGACGTAGCTAGGATTCATTTGAGAAGCCGGTGAAGTTCTGTTCAGTTGCAATGAACGCCGACACCTGGAAAAATTTTCGTTTGGTGAAAGAGTATTTTCTTAACGTCTCCGAAAATTGCATCGCAAGAACGAGTAGTTTAAACTATTTTAAATCATAGTTGATCTCCTTTTGTTCAGCAGTCGTGGCTTTTAAAGGAGATTTATTGAACAGAGAAGTTACCTCATATGAAGCCTTAAAGGCAGTAGCGAGAAAGTGACGAGCGAGCAACGAGATCTTCATTAAGAAATTAAGTTTTGTATCTATTAGAAATAGTTTAGAGATACTTGCTCCATAGATTAAGAAAATAAATTAATAATTTCTATTGCCCCTGATTAGAACATGGTTGCAAACCCACAAGAAACCGCTTAAAACACCATGAAATCTAATACTCAAATAGAGAAGTTGTAGATCTTATTTAATGGTTTGCTTCTTAGAATTACATGTGGACCAAATATTGCAGGTGCAGGTGAACCATTGAAAATGATGAGAGCTTAGATCAATTTAAAAAATTAATAATATAATTATGTTCATAATCATCATTATTGTAGTTAAAAGGACCATAATAATGTCATTATACTTGTGTCTGACTACCATTTCTTTGAATTTCTCCTATTCTTATATAGATAATGTTACAATTGATTTAATACATAAATCAACTGTTCCTGCTAAAAAATAAAATAGATTTGATGATTAAGAAAAAAAAAAGTTACAGAATTTCATTGACTATAATCATGCAAATTTCAGCTGATATAATAATTCAACTATCTCTAACTATCTTTCCGGTGGCTAATTTCGAGCAATAGCGTTATCACATGGATCACGTATATATATTTAGGGTCCGTTTGGGGCAGCTTGTGCGTTTCAAGATAAGCTGCTTATCCTGAAACGCGAC